AAAAGACACTTACTCCTTGGAAGGAAAGTTATGACCAACCTAGACAGGCATATTAAAAAGCAGAGACATTACTTTGTCATTAAAGGTCCATCTAGTCAAAACTATGGTTTTTCCAGTAGTCATATATGGATGTGAGAATTGGACTATAAAGAAAGCGGAGTGCCAAAGTATTGATGCTTTTGAACTGCGGTGTTGGATAAGACTCTTGAGAGGCCCTTGGTCTGCAAGGAGGTCCAACCAGTTCATCCTAAAGGAAATCAGTCCTGAATATTCACTGGAAGGACTGATGTTGAAGCTGAAACTCCAATACTTTGGCCATCTGATGCAAAGAGCTGACTCATTGGAAAATACCCTAATGCTGGGAAAGATTGAAGGCATGAGAAGAAGGGGATGACAGAGGATGAGTTGGCTGGATAGGATCACTGACTCAATAGACATGAGTTTGAGTAAACTCCAGGAGTTGGTGATGGAGAGGGAAGCCTCACGTGCTGCAGTCCACCGGGTCACAAAGAGTTGGACACGACTTAGCGAACTGAACTGAACTGAACGGCCTGTGGTATTTTGTTACAGCAGCCTGAATATACTAAGACAGTGAACATCTATCTGAGTGAAGGGTAATGCTGATACTCTGTTCCATATGTCATTGCAAATTCTTCATGAAAATATATATATATTAGACTAGAGTTCAATCAGGTCACAAAACCAAACAGTGTAACCTAAACAAGGAAAGTTGAATTCAAAGTATGATTGATTACACAAGGGTGTTACCTACTGAGGAGACCAGAAATGTCTAATGAATGCAGAAGAGAAGAGATGGAAAAGTCACTACTCCTAAGACTGAGGCAGAGCACCCAGGGAAGGAACAGAACCCAGACAGTTGAGACCTGGGATGAGACCAGACTTTGTTAAAGAGGATGCAGCCATAGCCTACTTGATGGTGAAATTTGCTGAGGTTCCAGGAAGGCAGAACTCCTTTGGTACTTGGTCTCTAGTAACTGAGTTGCTCCACCACAGAACTTACTGGAAAAAAACTTACTGGCAGAGTCCCAAGGAAAGCTGCCCATGATAAGGGGCTGTACCAGAGGATTCACTGGAAAGTCACCATCTACAGTGGTAGGGGAAGGTGCCATCTGAGCATCAGCAGAATTTACTGGGCCTGCCATGTGCTATCTTCCTGAGTTTACCTTGTAGAACTCATTCTTATGAGGCCAGCATGTAGGGAAGTTGCCCACTGGGCTCCTCAGGGAAAGCTGCCCAAGGGTGCTGCTGTGTGGCTGAACATCACCTTCTAAGAGTAATACACAGCACAACCAGGAAAAGAAACCTCCAGCTTCCTCGGGGTAACTTCCTACAGCCTCTATTGATAGAATTCAACATCATCCCAGTGAGTAAAGGAGAAATGTTTATAGGTTCCAGTTCCACTATCACAAAGCAGGCAATGAAGAACAGCTTTGAAACCAAGAGGGAAGAACTTAATAA